CGAGGGTGATTACATAATCTCTCTCTATGTGTGTGTTTGAGGGAAGGGGGGCTTGTGTGCTGATGAAATCTCATGTTGATTAACTTAATGTAATACATAGAATGGTTCTATCATCTAAATATCGAGATTAATTTACTTCAAAATGGAATAAAAGAAAGAAAACAACGATGGAATAAAGATAACGAATGTTAAGAATATATTTAAATGTTGAAGAATTTTGAATAATTTATTGTCCTAGAAAAGTTGGCAACAGATGCCACACATATTGCATAGTGACTGTTTGAGATTGCTTATAAAAACAACTTATTGACTTATTCCGGTATGACACCGGTAATAAACATTTTTCAGTGTTTGGATAATCAACTTATACCGGTATCAAACCGGTAATAAGGAGCTTTTAAAGAAGTTAAACTCTTCTAACTTATAATAAGTTGATAAATACTTTTGTAAAAAAACATAAATTGTTTCGAATAAACAATGAAAATCCCACTCTAATGGAAATGTTTGTAGGCTTCTGCCAATTGCCAAATGTGGCACACCCACACTATAAAAGTAGAAACCAAATTCTTCCATCATCATGATCATAGAAAGCCATCATCAATTCCATTTTCCAAAACTCAACCACTCCCCCATCTATTCTTTAACACCTTTTATTCTTATGCTCAAATATATTTACTTTTTATTTTTTAATTAATTACTTTTAAATAAATAATTATTTGATATGTTCTATATTGATTATATATAGTCAATTTTATAATAATATTGATCAATATTGTTGATAGGTTAGATACAACTGTGTCATTTTAGTTGCTTAAAATTTTAATTGCAACGGTGTTTTTCTTATACTTTTTGATTCCACATTTGTTAATTAATTGTTAGTAATCAAGTTTATAGATTTATAAGAGTTGCACTTTTTAGACCCGACCCGTTTATAGATTTATGTGATTTTCATTTGATATTTTTCCATGTAGATGTATGTGTGTACGAAAAGTGACAGATTACATGTGATTCTAGGGTAAAATCATATGTGATACAACACGTATAAAAAGAGACGGATGAAAGTGTCCAGGGAAAACTTGCTCGCAGAAGGGCTACTTAACACGACGTTGTTTGTATTATATATGGTTTTACTTTAAAATCAATATGTTGACTTTTTTTTTTTTAAATTGACCACGTTATTATGTGTGTATGGGTTAGGGGCCGTTTATCAAACACTTGTATTATAAGCGTTCATCGGTAACATTTAACTTTATCATTTACTTACCGGGTAAGATTTTGGTCCATCAAAACGGTATCGTATACAACAATTTTACCCTGTAAGCGCTTACCATGGTAAGAATCGTCGCCCTCACTTACCGGATAAGATTCTTGATCCTTGTTTCGCTCTTACCGGGTAAGATTTTTTTATTTTTACCATATTTATCTAATAAGGTAATGTGACTTGATGTTTACTTATTCAAATAAGCGTTTGATAAACGGTCTCTGTATAAATGTGGAAGGTGGTGGTGATGATGATATTGGAGTTGTTTCTCCACTTGTATGGGTATTTGATGATTGTCCCCACTCATTTGGCACTCATCCCATAAAACAATATAACAAACGTCAAAACATATTTTATGTTCTTATTTAAGTAAAATTGACCACATGTGGTCCCTATTTTTAACATAAAAGATATATTAAATTCTATATTATACAGAGAGAGGGGCGATTAAATGTAAACCATATATATTTGTACAAACCGTGCAAACCATCATTTTTGTCGATTTCATTGTTTAATCTAATGAAATTGTTTCATATATTACTTTTCCTGATGAAATTGTTCCATATATGGTTGTTACTATGTTTTAATGAAATTGTTTCGTATATTTCTCTATAATTAATATATGAAGATGATAGTATCAATAATCAACACCATCTACAATTAAAATGACTAATCAAGCTCTCATAATTACAAAAAAATAAAAAATTATGATTTGTTGAAATGAGATTTATGGTTTGTACAAATAACGTGTTTTACAAAGTAAATATCATATATATATATATAGAGAGAGAGAGAGAGAGATAGAGAGAGAGAGATGATAAAAAAACAGTACCTATTTAAAATAACACGAAAACGAGCAAATTACGTGCATAATCATATGTGATTTTACATTAATAGTCAAAAAAAGTGTCCAGGTGACTTGTGGCTGCATCTTCAGGTCGCGGGGCAAAGCCATTTGAATCACATGTGATTTTGTATGTGATGTTAGTGTAAAATCACATACAATTCGTCTGTTTTCGTGTTCTTTTAAATATACACCGTTCTTGTTTAATCTTCTTCTATATATATTTGGTTCACACTTCTCAAAAAATTTATAACTAATTTAAAAAGTACTACAGCAAGAGTAATTTGTTTGGACATTCACAATAGGTTTTTTTTTTTTTTACTTCGAATTTATGAAATCAACAAACTCAAAAAACAAATTGCCTTATAAACATTTTTTAATATATACATGCAAATTAATATATAAAAATGAGAGTTAAGGTCAGAAGTATAAGAAGTGATCTGGATCTTTTATCATTTTTAATCTCAAACTCATTCATAAATCGTAAGAATAAATCTAATATATCTCGGTACATCTCATCCTAATGTGCATCCAATTAGTTGAATTCTCTCTTTATGCTTCTCATCCAAACCTAACCTTATATGTTACAAAAAGACCATTTTTTTGTTATAGTACAAATTACACCCAACTCATGATTTTCAACCACAAAGTCTACAGGAAGGTTTAGGGGTCGTTTATTAAACACTTACTTGGTAAGCATTTAACGCATAAATTTTCTCATCGGATGAAAATGAAAAGGATCAATAATCTTACCGGGTAAGAGTGATGGGAATGATGGAGAGTCTTACCCGGTAAGTGAGGATGACGAATCTTACCCAGGTAAGTGTTTACCCAATAAATTGTTTCATTCGATATGTTTTGGTGTACTAAAATCTTACGTATCAAAATAAGTTATAATGTTAACCCCTATTAATAAACACTTACCTGATAAAGATTTGAGTAAACTGTCTCTTAGTTTGATATTATAATAATAATATAAAAGTAAAATAAAGATAAAAGATAAAGATCAGTTGTCATATTTATTACCCATTAAAATCCAAAGGAAAATGGATAAGACGAACTGCCGACGGCCTATGCCCTGAGGACAACGGCCATGGACCCCTCGTAGTCGTAGTTTCTGACTAATCATGTTTTCAACCACAAAGTCTACAGCAAGGTCTTAAAGGCAATTTAAAGCCTCCACATATCCATAAATCTTTTATATGCTTTAATTAACAATAACCAATGAATTCACACCTGATTCTAGAATGATATAGATTGTTTAAGTTTAAATATCTATATTTTTTTATAAATCATATTTATCAAAAATCTTAAAAATAAATTTTAATGTATAAAGTATTATATATTTATACACAAAGTCTTAAAAACAACACACAATGCATTAAGTACTACTACTTTATGCATTCAGTCTTAAAATATACAATTAAAATAACATATAGTACAAATTACCAATGCACATTATTTTTTTTTTTCATGTTCCCAAGATACTTTTGACACATTTCACTCATGTTTTCGCCCTCTCATACCTCTATGTCTTCTCCCCATCCCCCCAAGATGATATTCAAACTGATATACACCATGAGTTATTAAAAGTTCTCTCATTCAATTGCTTTACAATTCTTGGTCTCGCTCTCGATCTCTTGATTTTTTGCTCTTGGTGTAAATCGAACACATTTGTGTAGTCGTTTAAATATATTGGATTTTAAATTGTCATACAGTTTTTTCATCAATAGACTGTAATTGGAACCATAACTCTTATCTATTCAAATTGTATTAATATGTAAAGACCAAGTGTAACTTCTATAATAAAACCAATGAAACTTCAAAATCATTAAAATTCACGGCTCCCGTCGCATCGCGCGGATACACAACTAGTGTAATATGATTATAATTCATTTTAGTGATGCTTTTTTAATCCAGTCATCTAACAGATCATTGTGTATCTGAATTTCTCTTTAAAACAATCATCATATCCTTTCGCTTTCTGTTACATCTATGCAAACTCGATTCCTCTCCAAGTCCTTCACTAAGGGGCCGTTTACCAAACACTTACTCGGGTAAGCATTTACCAAGTCACGTACCTCATCTGATGAATATTGTAAGAGCAAGACAAGAACCATGAGTCTTACCACGTTAAGCATTTACCGGGTGAATTGTTGCATACAATGTCGTTTTGGTGGACTAAAATCTTACTTAGTAAGTAAATAATAGTGTTAAATTTTACCGATAAACACTTACCGAATAAGTATTTGGTAAACGAGCCCTTACTCATTTACCCTCTTTTACCCGAATAAAAATCTATCACTCTCACTTATACGAGATAATATGATGGTAAATAAATACCACCGTCTCTGACGTGATAAATGTTTAGCAAACATATGGTGAGGTCATCAGCAGTGAGAATGGGAGATTCCAGGGATCAAGATGCAATATTTGGCAAGAGAATCAAGACTTTCTATTGGTTTGTTGGTTGTTGAATTTCATTAACCCCCATCGCATCTATTATTAATAAATCCCATTTAACATGTGCTCTGCACCACTCCCTTCTTTGTTGTTTCATCCGTGTGCAGGTTTCTTCTTTGGTTTACAGTAGACTTTTCCCCTGTAATTCTCTCTCCTTTTCTTTTGACCTTTTAGGGGAGCCTTTATGGTTGCTTTTTCTTCTAAATCATGTCTTTTTGTTCCTAAATCCCTTTTTCTATGTGAATTGTGACTGATTTCTTGCATGGGTGTTAAATACTTTGATGTGTTGTTACTTGTTAACACCATATTTTGAAGATGCTCACAAGGTGTTTGATGTTTTTACCCAATCAGGGTTTCAAAATTCTATCTTTATTTGTTACTTTTACCACTGAACTCTCTCACATATGAAGTTACACAGAAAGCTAGCAGCACTAACTACCATCACTTATTTTAATCAAAATTTGACTTTATTGAGTCAACTGCTTCCCACCCTTTTTGTTTCATATCATAAACATGTGATTTTTGGAGCTCTGATCAATCTACGATTCCAAAAACTAAGTGTTTGTTTTCAATTACAGGTGGTATGAAACTAGGGTTCGAAGGTAAATGGGTTTGAATCTAGTTTGGGGATTGTTGTTGGTGGTGGTGTTCTTCAATGGATGCTTCAGTAAGAATGCTAGTGTTCCTTCAAGACCAGATATCGTAAATATTGGAGCCATTTTGACTTTTGATTCCATCATAGGGAAAGTTGCTAAAATCGCGCTAGAGGCTGCTGTAGAAAATGTGAATTCTGATCCAGCTATACTTAATGGAACCAAGCTGAAAATAACCATTCATGACTCCAATTTCAGTGGGTTTGCAAGTATCATGGAGGGTATGTCTTTCAAACATTTGCTTATATCTTTCATGCTATTTCTGTTTGAATACCTTTTCTGGGGCAATAATTCCTAAAAAAATTGTATTTCAGGATCAAGCTCACTGATTATAGAATAATTTGAAATCATTGTATTTCTTAGGAAATTCTGATAGCTTCTCTAAATGTTATATAACATATAGAAACCCATCATTCATAATCCGCGGATAACTCAAATTTCTTATTGATTTTGAATTTGAAAGGCATCCATACAGGTCTGTTTATGTGATTATAATCTTGTTGCCTTCAATTTCATTTCTAACAGCTTTGCAGTTCATGGAGAGCGAAAGTGTAGCCTTAATCGGCCCACAAACATCAGTCTTGGCTCATATGATCTCCCATGTGGTGAATGAACTCCAAGTCCCTCTACTATCTTTCACAGCCACGGACCCCACACTTTCCTCGCTTCAATACCCCTTTTTTGTCAGAACTACTCACAGCGATCTCTTCCAAATGGCTGCCATAGCAGATATAGTCGAGTACTATGAATGGAGACAAGTGGTAGCCATTTATATAGACGATGATCATGGGAGAAATGGAATAACTTCATTAGCAGATCAGTTAGCTGCTAAAAGATGCAAGATCTCCCAAAAAGCTCCTATTAAGCCCGAAGCAACTCGTGCAGATATTAGTGATGTTTTACTTCAAGTTGCTTTACTGGAATCAAGAGTTCTTGTTGTTCATACTTACGCTAATTGGGGATTAGATATACTTGATGTAGCTCAACATCTTGGAATGATGGAAAGTGGGTACGTTTGGATTACAACCAATTGGCTCTCTACTGTCATAGATATAAGTTCGCCACTTCCCTTAAAAGCGATTAATGCTATGCAAGGAATTATTACATTAAAATCATACATTCAAGATTCAGAAGTGAAAAGAAAGTTTACATCTGAATGGAAGAACTTGACGAATTTGGGTCTGAGTACTTATTCTCTGTATGCATACGACACGATTTGGATTCTTGCTCGTGCTCTTGATGAGTTCTTTAATCAGGGTAGAAACGTTTCTTTCTCAAAAGATCTTCAATTGAATAATCAATCTTTAGGAGGTTTCTTGAATCTTGATTCTTTGAGCATCTTTAATGGCGGAAAGATGTTGCTTGAAAACATCTTAAGAGTCAAGATGAATGGAACAACAGGATCAACTGAGTTCACTTCTGATAAAAATCTGGTTTTTCCTGCTTTTGAAGTTATAAATGTGATTGGTACTGGCGTTAGACGAGTTGGGTATTGGTCAAATTCTTCGCATCTGTCAAAATCTCCACCAGAAACAGTCAATACGAAGCTTTCAAACAGTTCTACTTCATCTGAGTTGTTATATAGTGTAATTTGGCCTGGTCAAACGATTAAAAAACCACGTGGATGGGTTTTCCCACAAAACGGCAAACAGTTGAAGATTGGGGTTCCACACCGAGTTAGTTTTGAGGAGTTTGTGGAACAAGTTAGGGGGACTGATTTATACAGAGGATACTGCATTGATGTGTTTACTTCTGCAATAAACCTGCTGCCATATGCTGTCCCATATAAGTTCCATTCTTACGGGGATGGTCAAACTAACCCAAGTATCACAGATCTCGTGAGCTATATAAAAGCTGGTGTGAGTGCTTCTTTCCAAATTCTTCAATCTTTTTGCATAATCTAACGAAAAATTGCATCATATGTTATACCTCAAACATAATAGAAATCGGACCAAAGTCACAACTGAGGTATCAAAATGAAGGTTTTCAGAGCACGTTACACGAAATAGGAAAATTACATGCAATTTGGGCATAATGTAAAGTTAAGTCATTCTAGAGAGTTTCTCTGTTTAAAGTTGTTAAATTTCTGGGTCTTTTCACTAATTACTGTAGAGATTTGATGCTGCGGTGGGCGATATTGCGATCATCACTAACCGGACACGAATGGCGGATTTTACTCAGCCATTTATCGAATCTGGACTAGTTGTGGTGGCACCAGTCAGGAGGCTAAACTCTGGAACTTGGGCTTTTCTCAGGCCATTCACTGCTAAATTGTGGTGTGTTACTGGGATCTTTTTTCTAGCTGTTGGAGTCGTTGTTTGGATTCTAGAACATCGTAAAAACGACGAATTTCGTGGCCCTCCTAAACAACAGATCATCACAACCCTATGGTAAGATTTTGTGTTGGCATCTAATATGATGCATAGTATGTGTTATATCGTCACTAAGGGTATGTTTGGTATAACTAGCTGATATGCTAGCTGTTAGCTGAAAACTAGTTGTTGGCTAAGCTAATAAGTTAGTTGTAAATTAAATTGGAAAAATATAAGGGGCATAATTGTAAAAAATTGGGAAAAAAAAAACTCTGAAGCTAGCTTATGGCTAACTAAACGAGGCTTTTTTAATAAGCTCAAACAATAAGTTAGTTTTTGGTTACCAAACATGAACTAACTGTTTGTGTTTTCATCTTTGCAGGTTTAGCTTTTCGACCTTATTTTTCTCCCACAGTAAGTTTCTCGACACGAAACTAGCTAAATAATCCTTAGACTCCCTCCATTGGGCATAATGTAGTTAATATCATATCTTTCTCCAAAATTGTTAAGAAATCACATCAACTTCGAAGGTTAAACGAAAGCCCATTCAACTTGAAACTCAAAGCATCTTCTTTGTGTGAACTATTTTGCTTTTAAGTTATTAAGATTGGTTTTATATCCCATGATCTGACTTAACCATGGTTAATGCAGAACAGAACATGATGAGCACTCTTGGTCGTATCGTGTTAATTCTATGGTTATTCGTGGTTCTGATAATCAGCTCCAGTTATACCGCAAGTCTCACTTCAATCTTGACCGTACAGAAACTTTCTTCTCCTATTGAAGGGATAAGTAGTTTAATATTGAGCAAAGATCCCATTGGATACCAAAAAAATTCGTTTGTTAGAAACTATCTGGTTGAAGAACTTGGCATTTCCGAAGCTAGACTTGTTCCACTTGGCTTGCCGGAAGATTACGAAAAAGCCTTAAAAGATGGTCCTAACAATGGCGGTGTTGCTGCAGTTGTCGATGAACGTCCATATATCGAACTCTTCCTTTCGACCCGCTGCCAATTCAGCATTGTTGGTCAAGAATTTACCAAAAACGGATGGGGATTTGTAAGTACTTTTATCTTCATGATACATTCTCCTTATGCTATGTTTGACTTTCAAAGTCAAACCAAATATTTGGCAAACTTGCTAGTAATGAACTGCTAGCTTCTAAACTAGTCATATTTGGTAAAAAGAAACTATTGTCTCTGTCTCAAAATAAGTGTCCTCATTTTTATTTCAGTTTGTCCCAATATAAGTGTCTACTATCAGACGTAAGAGTCTACTTTTCAATTCTACTCTTAATTATGAGACGGAGAAATCCATTACTCATATTATTAAGGGTAAAATTATCATTTAGTTAATTAAAAAAATATAATACTATAAATTTCTAAAAGGGCTCTTGTAGTGTGCGTCATTTCCATTGTGGACATTTATTTTAGGACAGATGAATAGTTGATAAGCTAGATGATTATCTTAAAATAACCTAAAAGGACACGTTGAAAAATTAATTAGAATAATATAAGGGGCATAATTGGGAAAAAAAAACTAGAGCCTGTCGAAACGCTATATGAGCTGATTTATGCCTAATCAAAAGGGGCTTTTTCAATAAGCTATCTTATAGTTACCAAACATAACCTATACTTCAAATTTGATATGAATCTCTTGGTTATTCCCAAAAAATAATTTCTACAACGGTAAACTTCATATCAAATTTGACACGAAGCTCTTCGATCTGAAATTCAAACCGTAATTCTCTTGTGTTTGATGTTCATGGTCAAAACCGAGGCGTTGACTGTTTCGGGTTCTTGTTTACTTATAGGCCTTTCCACGGGACTCTAATCTCGCAGTGGATATCTCGACGGCCATTCTAAAACTTTCAGAAAACGGAGAGTTACAACGGATTCACGACAAATGGCTAATACGGGGCGCTTGTAGTTCACAAGGAGCGAAATTTGCAGTGGACCGGCTTGAGCTAAAAAGCTTCAAAGGCCTGTTCTTTATATGTGGGCTAGCTTGTTTTCTTGCTCTTTTCATATACTTGGTGCTGATCATATACCAGTATATAAAACACAAACCGGATCTTCCGGAATCTTCCGGACGTAGCCTCCGATCAGGCCGGCTTCAGACATTCATTTCATTTGTTGATGAAAAAGAAGAGTCGGTTAAAGCCCGTTCCAAGAAACGGATTAAAGACGCAAGTTCACGTAGGAGTAATGGAGATGATTCCTCGGCGAATGACTATAGAAGCACGCAGAGAGAATCGCCTTCGGAATGGTCACAAAATGTAGATCGATCTTAGTCATGTTTGCTATTTCATGCATTTTGCCCGATGCATCTTTTATATGTGAAAGATCAAATACAACTTTCTAATACATGATTAGAATGTGTAAATACTACTAAAGGGGCTACAAGGTGGTGTATATGAGATTATAGAACACATAAAGTATTGTATAGCTGATGTAAACTAGCAAGTAGTTTTCTTATTTGTATGTAAAGGTGAATGAATCTCTAGGTTCACTTGCAGAAAAGTTAGATCAAACCAAATCAAACGAAATCAGTATTATCCCACTTGAAGAAGGGGTCTGAGGGTATGATTTACGCAAGCTTAGATTTATGCAGATCTGACCTCTATGTTAGTCAGATAGTAGAGCGTTAAAAGTGTATGAAAGACAGAAATGCAAATATGATTGAATTTTGAAAATCTAGTTATGAGTAAGCATAAAGAGAATGTATCAAGAAATTGATAAATTTTATTTTTACTTACGAATCCCCATCCATTTTTGGTAAATTCTTGGCCAACGATGCTGAATTGGTAGCAGGTCGAAAAGAAGAGTTCGATATACGGATGTTCATCGGCGACTATAGCAACACCGCCATTATTAGGACCATCTTTTAAAGCTTTTTCATAGTCTAACTATGTTATCCCGAATGAGGGAGTGATAAGGATGTTTTTAGCTAGTTTCATATAGAGTAATTTACTGTAGGAGAGATAAGGATTATGTAACAACTCAGATAAAGTAGAACTGTTTTTGGCATAAATTTTGAACGATGCGAAGAATTTGACCAATACCCGACTCGTCTAATGACAGTATCAATCATTTACAACTTCAAATGTCGGAAAAACCAGATTTCTATCGGAAGTAAACTCAATTGATCTTGTTATTCCATTCATTTTGACTCTTGAGATGTTTTCAAGCAACATCTTTTCGCCATAAAGATGTTCAAAGAATCAAGATTCAAGAAACCTCATAAAGATTGATTATTCAATTGAAGATTTTTTTTTGGAAAAGAAACGTTTCCACCCTGATTAAAAAAATCATCAAGAGCACGAGCAAGAACCCAAATCGTGTCGTATGCATACAGAGAATAAGTACTCAGACCCAAATTTGTCAAGTTCTTCCATTCTGATGTAAACTTTCTTTCTCAGTTCTGAATCTTGAATGTATGATTTCAATGTAATAATTCCTTGCATAGGCATGAACCGCTTTTAAAGGAAGTGGCGAACTTATATCAATGACGGTAGAGAGCCAACTGGTTGTAATCCAAACGTACCCACTTTCCATCATTCCAAGAGGTTGAGCTACATCAAGTATATCTAATCCCCAATTAGCATAAGTATGAACGATAAGAACTCTTGATTCCATTAGAGTAACCCGAAGCAAAACATCACTTGCTTCGGGCTGAATAGGTGCTTTTTGGGCGATCTTGCATCTTTTAGAACCTAATTGATATGCTACGCAATGGATAATTATAATAATTCTTCAATTATCTTTATCTAGTATAAAAATAATCCAAACCATAATCATCACCAAATTTAAAAAATCTGATATTGTTAGTTTATGTGTTAGAAAATTACTGCAGAAAATAGGAAGTAAAGCAAACAGATTATGATGTGATTAAGATCACTATCTTTAAAATAACATCAGCCCCTACTATATGTTAGGTTATGGTTAATTTATTCTCAGGATTAACCCAATCCAGATGAATGATACAGCAAACCATACATCTCCATGAACATCTTAAACATTGCAGGAAACAGAATAGGAGAAGAGAAGAACTAGAGGAGAAAATTAATCCCAAATTCTAATGAAAATGTTAGATTTATATGGGTTGTAGCCTGTAGGTAACAGTTTTAGGCAACAGAAAAACTGTTAGTGGATAAGATCTTAACCAAAGAACCGCACATATGGATAAGAAACTGTACCATACTGTGCATAAATAAAAACCGAGTTTTTATGAGAACCGCATCGTGCACCGTGCTAGTGCTATCTTTTGATCCATTAACAATTCCTATGTCAACCCAAAGCAAGTAGAAAATCAAGCCCAAATCCTCTTTATCAAATAAGTAGAATAAGACTTATAAACCACTCTCATATTAGCTTCTCTTCCTATATGGGACAAAACTTCCACCTATTGAAGACTATATCCAACATTATGTTCATGATTGTGCTATATTATTATGCGTTATCGAATTATATAGTTAAAGTTACTTACCTGGATGGGGTGAATAGCCTCGGTTAGTGACCCCCATTGCACATAGAAGGGGTGCTACCTTAAGGTGAGCCTATATCATAATTTGTAGCTAATGTTCATGTATTCACATGTGAATATATCATCAGTAAAGTATGTGATCATGTATTCACATATGAATACATGAAGATATCTATATATAGTTTCAAATTACATTAATACTCTTGGGGTTTTAGAAAAAAATAAAAAATTGTTTAAAATATTATATATTTGCTTTGAAACTATAAAATCCGATCCAGTCGTGTAATGGGTCAAACCTCATTTTTAAAGAAAGAAAACCAAAAGCAAGTTTACCGACAACAATTCAAGTCACATAAATACAATATAAAACATGTCAATTGGATTGAGTTGGGTTGGGTGTATTTAATTCATCAAGCTGCCATTGCTTACTTTTGCATCATAACTTGGATTTTATTATTTATATAATATTTCAACCTCCGTTCCAACTTACACTAAACTACTACTATTACAATTTTATTAAACATATATATAAAATAATTATTATAACTTTTTTTTAGTTTCTCGTAAATACAATTTTACTGAGGTAGATAATTCAACATAAATATTTCAAAAATATCCTTAACGAAATTCTGAGATACACTTAAATGAAGTTAATCATCAACTCCATTGATAATTGGTTGAACATATTTGGCTGAATCGAGATTACGAATGATTTATATTACTATATTTGTGTAAGTTTTGCACTTTTTTAGTCGTAGTATAAAATTGTGTTTATGTTTTATTTGTTTTTCACATATATTAACAATATATATATATATATAAATTAACAAATTAAAATTAATATAGAAAGGTAAAAATTAATAAATTTACTTTGATTTTTTATATTATATATATATATATATATATATACACACACGAAGGGTACTCGTGCAATGCATCGAGACATATCTTGATTTCAATGTTTTGTTTTATTCTTTTTTTATGTCAATATAATACAGTTTTATGTGTTTTTGAGAAAACAATGTTTTTATTTTTTAGTAGAATATAAATTTGAAAATATCATAAAATTTTGAAAAAAAAATATCGATGTCAGTGTCAAATTAATATTTTTAAAAGTTCTTTTATTTTGGTGTAATTTCCTTAATTCAATTTTTTAATTATAATTTAATTTAGATTTGCTAACAAAGAAATTTAATTTAGGTTTAATAATATAATTTTTTATAAAAATCATGACTAAGTATTCTGTTAAAACTAAATGATTATCTTAATTATATTTTAGATTTTTTATATTTAAAATGAGATACTTGATTATGTTTATCTGCAGTTAGTTACATGAATTCAATTATGAAGCTTTAATAAGATGTACTTATGCACAATTTACTTGTAATCTTAAATTTTAAGTAATATGCATCAATAAACAGTACTTCGTGCATAAAAAATGGTCTTTAAGAGTTTTTGTCAAATGCTTTATAGTATAGTATAAATATATTAATTATTTAATAAAATCACATTTAATAAATTAAAAAAATGAAAAGTGTGGTTTTTATAAGAACTTTTATTGTGGAGTTTTGTTGAGATTCTTACCTTATTAAATATAAAGATTTTATTAAATAAATGTAAAGTTTTTTTTAATACATAATATAATTTATCTAAGATTATTTAATATAATATATTTAATAAATTTGTTAAAAGAAAAGATATTCTTAGAATAAAATATAAACTTATCAAAATAAGGTTCCAAATTTAAACTTTATTACTCTTTATAAATTATAATTATAATAATACAATACGTCTAAGATACGCCAACCGTTGACTTTTCTTGATCCACCCAAAAACAAATGCATTACACGTTTAACGTGAAAGAATCTAAACAAGATTAATTAGGATGGAAAATATTTTTATTTAATATTTATTTTTAAAGATAATTATTATGTCCTGGATACAAAGAAAATGAAATTTCGATTAGGTAAAAATATCAAACACCCTACCGACCACTACTGTCGTCACCTCTTTCAATCTCTCAAAATCACGTATAAAAGTACATGTAATTCATGTGACATGAAGTCACAGGTCACATCTTATTATTATTAATCCATTTTCATCAAACAAAAATTCATAAAAAATAATCTAAAATCACAAAAGTGGTGTCTGATTGGTTTGAGCTTAGCTCAAAAGATCAAAAGTAATGAGGAATAAAAATTCTCTTGTGACCATGAAGGTTCAAATGCGGTGACTCCGGACTATCTGCAAAACAGGTGATCGTCTTGGCATTAGTCGGCTCCCATAACGGATTAAATATCTATGTTAATAAAAATAATCTAAAATAATTCAAATTTTTTTATTTTTAAAAAAATAAATGAATCAATTTCCAACGACCAGATGTGAATTCAAAGGACAAACTCAATAAACAACACTAGAGATAGGATTGAACCAAACAACCAAGTCATCGTCCACCGTTGATCACAAATAAGCAATTCAACGTTTGATTCTTAACTAAAATTTTATATTTAAAAAATATAAAAAAAACTAATATAATTTTGTATTTTGAATAATAAAGCTTATATTTATATTTTTTAAATAAATAAATCATCAAACTCATCTGAATCAATCAAATAAATACTTGAACCTATTGAAATAAGATAAATGATTTATTAAATTTACTCAAACATTAAAAAATTAATGAACGTTTACATTTTTGAATATTTTTTTAAACAAAAAAAAAATTCTAACGAATATAAAACAAAAGGAATATGTCAATTTCCTTTTTGATGTATCAACAAACTAGTAGTGAAATACAATGAACTAATAAAACGAAAGGAATATAGCATTTTTATTAGCAACTGTTTATTTTTCAAATTCAGATCATATTTATTAAGGGTTTGATATGATCTTGTGATTTCATTTGTATCTAGGAATGGGAATGGGGCGGGGATCCCTATACCCGTCCCTGTTCCTATACCCGTCCTCAACGGGGAAACGAAGATTTTTATTAATACCAAAAAACTATAAAATTCGTGAGAGAGTAAGGTGAGAGATTTCACATTTTCACTGCTAAAACCTTTGATAAGGATTGATTTTGGTGATGTATAAGTTAGCCTTTTATGAATATGATGTTTTGAACAAAGAAGACATACCTTTCGAGTTTCGATTTCGAAGGTGAACTGTCGAAGGCAAGACAACAACGCTTGCTACTTTCGAAGGTGAACTACTGAACTGTCGAAGGAGGGATTGAGGGAGGCAAACCGAAGTTACAGACGAGTCAAGGCGAGGCCGGAGGGACTAAGGGAGGCGAACCGAAGTTACAGACGAGTCGAGGCGAGACCGGAGGGACTGAGGGAGGCGAACCGAAGTTACAGACGAGTCGAGGCGAGGCCGGAGGGACTAAGGGAGAGCCAAAGAAGGAGACAATTGCCGATTAGGGTAGGGAGGCTGGAGGGACGAAGTCACGATTCACGAAGAAGGGTAAACGGTAATGAGTGATTGAGTGTAATCTGTAAAGGACTAAAGGGTAAAAGGCCAAAAGGGTTAAACATTAAAGAATTAATTTAACATTACATTACATGTATATATAAAACGGGTACTGGTCGTGGCGGAGAGTGATATACCCGTCCCCGGCCCCATCCTTGACTTGAGGCAAATGGGGATCCCCATCCTCGGGACCCGGTTTACAGGGAAATACCCGTCCTGATCCCGGGTTACCCGACGGGTCGAGGCCCATTCTCATCTCTCTTTGTATCTAAAAATTAAATAAGCAATAGTATCTTCCATGATTATAATTTAAATATGAAAAATAAATAATGAGAAATAGAAATTGTATATAATCATTATGTTTTATCAATTTATTTTATTTTGAACATCTCCGACAATGTTTCTATAATTTTTTTAAAATAAAAATAAAAAACCAAATAAAAAAATTACATTCATCCTCAACAAATTCTTATAAAAGTGGGTTATTTTAGTGGATTTTCCGCATTTACACACCGACATGTTTTTTACGTATTTAGAAAAGAAATATTTAGGGATAAAGGTGGGTTATTCGAGTCACCTCCATTGAAAGCACCCAAATCAATAAACAAGTGTGCAGATAGGATAGGATTGAACCACCAACTCACCTTTCCACTGTTCTTTCTTCAAATCAGAATCAACAAACAACCCTTCAATCACGACACTCGTCTCATCAACCTATTCATATATGAATATATCATATCTGAATCAAAACCCCCACTAAATTCTGTGTTTTCTTGAACCTAAAAATATGGCAGGAGATACAAGTGAAGAAGCTACAAGACAACTCGATCAAACACCCACTTGGGCTGTCGCTGGTGTTTGTGCAGTCATCATCATCGTCTCCATAGCTTTAGAGAAAGTTCTTCACAAACTTGGAAAGGTAAATTCTTCCTCATTTCCCTCTAAACTTCACGTAATTTGTTTCTACCGTCTCTTACTGTTCTTCCCACAACGTAGGAGGTTTAGGGTTCAAAAACAGAATCAAGTTTTTGTTTTTATTATGATTCTTTAAATGAAGCGTTGAATTTTGTGGCTTAAATCTTGTTTGGATGTTACTGAAAGAATGAAATTTACCATCAGTTTTTCACAGAAAAGCACAAGAAAGCTCTGTTTGAAGCTCTGGAGAAGGTTAAAGCTGGTAAAAAAAAAGCACAATTCTTCTGATTTGCAATCCCAATCTTTTCAAGAATCGGTTCTGGTTTCTAACCCTTTGTTGCTTGGAACTGTGTAGAGTTGATGATTCTAGGGTTTATATCATTAATATTGACTTTTAGTCAATATTACATTGCCAAAATATGCATTCCAGTTGATGTGGCTGATACCATGTTGCCATGTGCTAAGAGAGATCATAAAGAAGAGAAAGAAGGAACCACTCATCGTTTGCTTTTATCGTACGATCAACGTAGGTCGTTAGCTGGTGCCGTTGCTTCTACCTGCGCTAAGGTACCCTTAATCATGGCTCTGATACCATGTTAGAACCTCTTTGAGTCCCTTATAAAAGAGCCATTATAAAGAGAGGAGAGGTTCCTACTGTAACAAAATTGGCTTTATAGGATGTCAAATATGTCTAAATGTCATAATAGATAGCTTTATAGGACTAAACAATTGTATATGTATACAATAAGTTTTTGGCGTTCTAACAACTTTTTTTAGGAAATTTTTTTAAATTAATTGTTCTATTAGTCTTTTTATATGACATTATTTGAGGTGTTACAAACACAAGTGTTTCTATAAGAAGATGTATTCATAGGATACTTTTCAAAGTGTCGTATAAAAGAACTAATAGGATACTTTATTTCAACAGTGCCGAAATAAAGGGTCGTAAAAAACTTGTTAGGATGTCCAAATATGTCCTGACATCCTACCGTGTCACCTTCATATAGGACATTTGAACAACTTTGACATCTTATAAAGCTGATTTCATTGTAGTGTACGTATATACATGCTTGATGGTCTGCATCTAGTCGATGTGGGACTTGAACACTCCCCTCAAATGGAGGATAAAAGGTGCCCTCAAGAACGGAGGTGAAAGAATGTTGAGTCCCTAGGTGGTGATATACCCTACTCTGATATCATGTTAAATCTCTCTCTGAAAGAGAGAAAAGTTCCTACATATATACATGTTTGCGGTTTGTGTTTAGCTGATTTGGGACTTCAGTACTGCTAAAGTAAACAATGTGTATGAATAGTCGACTGCTATATGAGATTAACACTTAGTTTTTTGATAGGGGAAAGTACCGATTATAACTGTTGATGGGCTGCATCAACTGCACATACTCATCTTTTTTCTTGCTGTCTTACACGTTGCGTACAGCGCTATAACTATGGCTCTCGGGAGACTAAAGGTACTCTACATTTACTAGCATTGCCGTTTCTCGTATACTTTAGGCAACGAGCATAGATATAGACATTGCTTGAAGCTCTTGAAAGCCCGACACTCTGCAAGTCTTTCTGTTTTCCGTCAAGATTCAAGTTTGCAATCAACGAACCTCTAGAATTCAAGTAGTAGCAATTAGTTCGAACCGAAAGCGTCCAACTTTGAGTTGTGGTGAAACTGGATGTTCCACAAATCGATATGATTTTCCTGCTACTTTTTGCTTTGCAGATTCGTGGTTGGAAGCAGTGGGAGTTGGAGACTTCATCCCATGACTATGAATTTTCCAATGGTAATATTACTTTCTATGACAAGGAAACAATTGCTTACTTTTTGGGATAGAGGTCAGGTTTGTGTATAACATACCCTATAAACCCACCATCGGGTGGGATATACAGGGTTCATTTGCTTTATGTTTACCGTCTACGACACGGAAATTACTGTTCTACTGGGATAGAGGTCAGGTCTACATACATCTTACCCCATGGACTCCACCTTCACGTGGAATATACAGGGTTCATTTGGTTTATGTTTACCGTCTATGACACGGCAGCTACTGCTTTACTCTTTGGAATAGAGGTCAAGTCTACGTACATCTTATGTCCAGACATTACCGTCGGGTGGGATATACAGGGTTCAGTTGGTTTGTGTTTACTATCTATGACACGGAAAGAAACTATTGCTCTACTCTATGGGTTAGAGTTAAAGATCAGGTTTGCGTACATCTTACCCCCATAATCCAACTTCAGGTGGATATATGGGGTTCTTTTGGTTTATGTTTTCTTTCTATGTTTTGGTTGAGAAAAAGAACTAATAATATACCCTTCACGAATATAATTTGATTGTTCATACGTTATGAAAAATATAGATCCTTCACGATTCAGGCTTAGCCATGAGACGTCTTTCGTGAGAGCACACACTAGCTTTTGGACTCGAATCCCTCTCTTCTTTTACATTGTAAGTTCTTGAGATCTTGATCAACGTTTTATTTCATTTTCTAACCGTGGTGTCCGGGCCAGCTTGTGCACACCTTGACTAATCCAAGGGGCCCTGAAGTTAACACTCGGAAAAACCTTCAGTGCCAATGGCTCTCAGGAGACTCGAACCGGTGAGCATTGAGGATCAAACCCAAGGTCTTACAGTTGAGCTACCGGCCCACTAACTTAATCAAATGTTCATGTCAATAATAGCTTTTACGTTAGTGTTTCCCTTATGCGCGATTCTTTCATTTCATGTAGGGATGCTTCTTCCGCCAATTTTACGCATCCGTTAGTCGGTCCGATTATTTGACCTTGCGAAATGGATTCATAAATGTAAGACTTTTGTTTCTTTATGCATATTTTTGTTGTTTTTTCTGTCTCAATCATGAGTCGTTCGATCTTTTCAGCTTCATTTAGCTCCGGGAAGTAAATTCAACTTCCAAAAGTATATCAAACGATCGTTAGAGGATGATTTCCAAGTTGTTGTTGGAGTCAGGTACTAAATTGACATTTTCTTCTCGATATATGTTGGAGCTTCCTTTCGCTCTTTTGAACAGTAATATGATGGGTCCCACATATCTCAAAGTTATTCCCCATTTTGACAGTCCGGTACTATGGGCATCTTTCGTGATCTTCTTGCTTCTAAATGTTAACGGTAAGTCATTAATACTTTCCGGCACGAACCTTGTAATTTATCGACACAAAACTGATATCGATATCGTTAGTTTATGTTGGTAAGTTCAATGTAATCATGTTTGACTCAAAAAAGTCGAAAACCGATGTTTTTCTATGATTTCTAAACCTATACAAAGTATATATCTTGCAGGATGGCAGGCTATGATGTGGGCATCGATAATTCCGTTAATCGTAAGTGCGGTTTTTCCGGTTCTTTAAAGATCAATTTACTGAGAACAAACTCGTGATCTTTTTACTTCACTTCATCTGTGCAGGTTATCTTAGCCGTTGGAACGAAGCTTCAAGCCATTTTGACGAAAATGGCTCTTGAAATCACCGAAAGACATGCGGTCATCCAAGGGATTCCTCTTGTGCAGGCCTCCGATAAACATTTTTGGTTCTCGAAACCGCAGCTAATGCTTCATCTCATACATTTCGCGTTGTTTCAGGTGCACTGATGAAACTCTGGATTTCGATTACGTATTTTATCATCTTCATGTTACTGATCGTTTTACGTGTTCTTTTGTGCTCACAGAATGCTTTCCAGATCACTTATTTCTTCTGGATTTGGGTAATAAAACTGCGTTTTATGCGATATTTATAACGAAAGATGTTCTTGTTCTACGTTAACGGGTTTTGGAAGGTTTTACGAAACTTCGGTGACACGATTCGATCTTTTTCTGTTTGTGCAGTATGAATATAAGATCAACTCTTGCTTCCATGATAATATGAGACTCGTGATCATGAAACTTGTTATCGGGTAACAATTTTCTCTAATGAACTCTTCTACAACAACATGGGTTTTTCCGGACCAACAAGCGGTCCGCTAACATCACAGTTTGGTAGTGGCTTAATTATATAGAAAATGGCTTATTCAGTAAGCTTCTAGGGGAGCTTTATATGCAGGAATCCAAGTTTTTTCCTAACTTGCACCTCCCAATTAAGAAACACGCTCCTTCCATCTAAGAAAAAACCTTCCCAAACAACAACTTTTCCGATCTATACAGACAAATTAATCCACACGGACAGTTCTTCCATTCAGGACTTAATGGAAAACCAGTCACACAGCTCCTCAATTTATAGGACCATGAATCTTGTGTCAAATCTAAAGGTGTTACAATAAGTTGTTAGAACAAAGTTAGACGATCAAACAAGTTCTATTAACGAAGCCCAACAACTTAATAGGCTCGTCCTATCTTTTCAAAAGTTTCCTTTGAAAAAGCTAATAGGACGATTTACTTTTATGTCCTATTAAGTTGTCTAACTTCGCTAATAGAACCTGTTTGGTCGCCTAACTTTGTTCTAAAAACTTATTACAACGCCTTTAGATATGAAACCAGTACTTGGTCGTATAAACTTCAAAGCTGTATTAGGACTCATGTACGTCCTAAAAAATACCCATTTCGTTGTAGTGACCGGTAATATTTTCGAGCATCGGTTTGGATTGTTTGTTGATGGAGTGATTTGTATCTTTGTTTTACGTAGGGTCGGAGTTTTGATCTTGTGCAGCTATATAACGCTTCCGCTCTATGCACTCCTATCCCAGGTTTAACATCCATTTCATGAACTGCTTCTGTTCGTATTAGTTTCGAAACTAACATCTCTTAATTATATCATAATTCACCATTTAGATATAATCCTATATCGTCTAGTTTGTAAATTCTATTTAGGCCATATTTAATAACAATAAGCTAGCTTATTTTTTGATCTATTAACTTTTTTTTTCCAATTATGCCCCTTATTTTTTACGTAAATGACCAAAAACCCTGACTTTGTTTGGCACGGGCTTTTTGACTGATTGACAGGAATGGTTTCCGTTAGTTAGTTTATCGGGTAGCTTAGACTTGGATTGAAAAGGCATGATTCATCTTTTTTTGATTTCGTGCCGGTCGAAAAACGATATTGACGTGGTGACGTTGTACGTGTAGATGGGATCTAACATGAAGATGTCCATCTTCGACGAACAAACCTCCAAAGCCCTCAAGAAATGGCGAATGGCCGTGAAAAGGAAACATGGAGGCAAAGGTGGCAAATCCCGGACACCATCAATGTTTGGGGACAGCGCTAGCCCAAGCCCCATTCACCCTGCGGCGTCGGGCCTACACCAAACGGCAGCAGCCACACTCCACCGGTTCAAGACCACCGGTCACTCCACAAGGAATTTCACCTATGAAGAAACCGATGTGTCGGATTTAGAAGCCGAACCACTGTCTCCAGAATCATCTACGCGACACTTGATCGACATGAGGGGTGGTCATCATAGCGATAACGAGATCGAGTTGGATCGATCGGATGAACAAGAAGAGGAGAGGGAGGATGAATTTTCGTTTGCGAAGCCTAAGCCTGCACCACCATTGTTATAGAATCAAGCTGCCCAATGTATCATATATTATTGAAAATTGATTGCTTGAGAATATCCATATATTATTTTTGAGATATAAATCTTTATTATTAAAATATTTTAGATTTAGAAATAAAGATATAATTTTTTTGTCTTAATGATTGGAGTGCGTTTTTTGGATAGAGATGATGATATGGTTTGCTGTATTATTAATACGATGCGTTTTATTGAATAAAATCTTGTTCGGTAAGTAAATAATATTGATGAATTTTACCGATGAGTGATTATCGGGTAAGTGTTTAGATAAACAGTCCTTTAAACTAGACCAAGGACCAACCTGTGTCAGGTTCGATGTAACATTCTCTTTTTCATCACGAGATGTTACATCTTTTTGTAAATATAAAATTCCCAATATTTAAGAAATATATCACCAGCCACCAGGTGACTAAAACTCCAAATTATGCTCACAGCAAAAGTCTTTTACAAATGAAATACCAGATGGATTATTAAAGTATATGTGTGATTAATAATTTAAAGACCTTTTTTCCATAAGCATATTCTACATTATCTATAATTCCTTTATTATTTTATAATATTAATAAATATTTATTTTTCATAAAAAAAAGGTTTTATTATTCTATTTGTCAACTCAAGATGGATCATGGAAGCCATGTGAACCATCTCCCAAGACGGCCCACCCACCTACCATTTATCCATTTTCTTCGGATCATTGTTTTCATTAGAGATACACAACCACAGTACAGTGGCAGTTACCGGATATGATAAATTTTTTCATCGGATAAATATGAGAAGGGCCAAGAGTCTATCAGATAAGAGCGATGAGAAAGAATGGAGATTCTTACTCGGTAAATGAGGATGGTGACTCTTACCTAATGAATTGTTGCATTCGATATTTTTTGATGTACTAAATTCTTACACATTATCATTGTTGATTCATATCAATATGCGCTTACCAAGTAAACATTTGGATACACGGCCCCTTAATCTAGTTAAATCAGTTTAAAAAGTCTATTTGGATAAGGATTTATCGTTGTTTGAGGAGAAAACATGTAATAACAATGATCTAGGAGATTATAGAGTTTTTTTTTTTTAGGGAAAATTGCATCAAAATGGAACCAACTTTCACCTGATTCCTATTTTGGGGAACCAACTTTCA